ACTTTAATATTTGTGCCTAGAAGCAAACAATGAAAAGTGATATCTCCCAAATCTAATTTTAATAGTTGTATCTAGGACAATGCCTTGTCCCTCGATGTGTTGTACTTGTGAATTCTGCTTTGCAAAATGCTTCACACTGACTGAATCCTTGTTCTCTCTCTGATGCTCAGCAAGGCGACTAAAGGAGGGCGTAAGGTTATTAAGCGAAGGATAGCAAAAGGGCGAGCGAGAATTGCAGTATGACATCTGTCAGTCATAACTAGCAGGTTTACTATAAGGCAACATCGAATCACTTGAAGTTATGGAAGCTGTATTTAAAAGCTTTGTTTGTTCTCCTCTGTTGTAAACTTTGGGCCAACCATCCATCCTAGTGTTCAAATCCTGGTTTGCTGAAACAGCTATGGTGAGAATAATTCTTCAGTATTTGTTTTATTTGGTATTTATATCTCAGCATGCTACTATCCAATGCTTTTGCCCTGTGCATGTTTGCTTGGCAAATGTCGGCCTGTTTAGAACACTAATGGCTCTTCATAACTTCTTGCTTTGTTTCTAGACTCTCTTGATCACGTTGCTTTCTTTCTTTCGTTGTGATCGTTTGGTAGTCCAATTTCTTAGTACGTTATATGGCGTGTCGTCAACTTTGAATTTCAGCATTGTGCTGTCTGAGCTGATAATTATTGTGCGTTGTGCTTGTTATATATCACATCTACTTCAGATTTGTTGTGTTTGTGATACCTTGAGGGTTTTGAATCGGATTCTACATTCAGTGTTATTAGTGTCATCTTCATCTTCATTTGGTCTTTTTTACGTGGGCGATTGTCTGAAGTCTCCTGTAATTGTTGTCTGTTCTCTGTTTAGAGTCCCTAACTTTGTAAATGGGCCAATCTCTGCGTCCGCTGTGCCAGGGTATTCCTTTTCCGTACGAGGCCCATCAAACATTAGGCCCATTTGTGGAAAGTGGCTCCTTCGGCCCGCACTGCACTTCGTGGGCTGTCTCGGGCTCGGTTTGGCAACTTCACTGAAACTAACCTGCATCAGTTTAGTTCTGGTCCGAGGGAGGCTGAGCAAACAAGCCCTCGGCTATATATACGGAGCTAATTAAAGTTGAAATAGCTTCGTCGTAGCGAGAGGATCAAGTGGTTCCAAGGGGAGACAAATGATTGATATTTGACGCGAAATTACATGTTCTAGAATACGTTTCCCTGCGAGCTAGCTAGATGGATGGATGGGTAGACGACCAAAGCTATTGGTAGTCAATCACCCCCCCAACCCCCCCTGTTGCGCTCCTTTTCTGACAGCAACTTGGGTTTGGCTGCCATTGTTTTCAGAGGCATTCATTGTCGACTCCGACTGACTACTGCTTCACTGTTGCTCGCATCACATGCCCTGGCCCAGAGCTTTCCCCGTATCAAGAACCGTTTATTTCTTCGCAGGATGATTATATATGTCTTATCATCATCATCGCCCGCCTTCAGCGAGCATCGATCTGTCGATGACTAGTACGCAATCATAAGCTCGTAACTACTACGTTCCTGCCCGCGTACGTGCTCTTTTTATCGCTAGGATACGCTTCGACACGCGTGCCAACGCACGCACCGTGCTGTAGTTTTCTCCCTTGAAAATCTTTCAGAAAGACAATGTATCAACGTATGCGTGCATGTATGTACGTGCTCCGTGTGCGCCGTGTGCACGTATTGGAAGCATGCTGCAAATTAATGCGTACCATCTGCAGGTACGTTACGGAGCGTTGCAACCTTAAACGTGGACTAGAATTGGTAGGCTGCTCTAGTTTGCTCCCCTATACGAACTTCTGATCTGGCTACTTTTGTCATGAATCATGATGGGGGAATAAAGCGGAGGGATCTTGATGCTTTTTATTTTAGAGGTACAGCCCTCCGTTCAACAGTAAGATCAAGTATTTGTACGATGCCTGCCGCTTTTACGAGACTTTTATACCCCACACGGGCACCAAAGGGTTCTTTTGCAATTTTTTTTTTTTTTTTTTTTTTTCCGCACCAAAGGGTTCTTTTGCAATTTTTTTTTTTTTTTTTTTTTTGCCTCTTATCATTTCAGGAATAATAAGTGAGAAGAAAAGCTGGTAGAAAATGATGGGCGGTAATGATGTGGTGGCTCCTAATTAATTGTTGAGTGTGACGGTTATTGCTTAGGTATTAATTGTTCCGGTGGAGATCGGATTTGGTATAAGATCAACGGTTTTTTTATAGAGTGCCCAGTGCCCATGGGCACTCTATAAGAGAGAAGAGAGACAGAGAGGAATGAATAGCCTATGGATCTTCTTGATTTGCATTAATTTCAGTACATAATTTATTTCTCTCCATCTCTCTCCTCTCTTATAGAGTGCCCATGGGCACTCTATAGAAAAACCGTAAGATCGAAACTCACACGTACATGGCTTGAATTGGTAGCTCATGAATTGGGGATCAGGCGTATTCTTGATGAGTTTGATACAGTGAACAGTGCCCCAAAAAAGACGACAGTGAAGGTCCCACCCTTGCGTGGGGGTGGGGGGGTGGGGGATGGGGAGCAACTAACGCAGTATGAGTTTAGTAAAAGGGTCTCATAAAAGAACACCATCCACCTCCAAATATTCTGCTATCCGCCTATCATAACACCTTTTGACTAGCATTATTGTTTCGGGGCCCTGCGTGCCTACATGTAGCTCTACGGGGCTTGGCTAGGTAGTAGCTCAGTGGCATATATGGGACCTCAGCCCAAAGCTGATCATATGATTAATGAGAGGGCCTGCATGATCTTTACCACCTCGATCGGCATTTAATTTGCCTTTGGCTTAAAAATCTTTTTTTTTTTTTTTTTTTTTTTTTTTTAAAAAAATTTTTTTTTTTTTTTTTTTTTTTGTTTTATTAAAGAAATAAAGGTGGAGGAAAGAGAGATACTTGGGCACAAACATCTTTTCTTTTGATCCTGAGGGTGAGGGATAAAGTGTCTCTTTTGGTGGTCATTCATAGGATTCCTCGCATGGACGATGTTAGGGACCGACGGAGAAATATTATAAATGGCAGGTCTTAACCATCTAATTTTCAGTAAGCAGTTGTGATTGAAAGTAGATTAATTTCTTCAGCGGAAGTGAGGAGAACTCAAATCCAAGCGAACGAGGCTGGTTCCTCTTTATTAATTCAAGAGAAATGGTACGTAATTGCCCTTCGAACGACAAACACCTGTCGTCATTGCATGTTGATATGGAGCGGAGAAACCAGCATGTTAGAAGAACTGGATCCCCTGCAAATAGGGGAATATAAGCGGTCCTAAATTATTTTATTAATGGAACATAGAGGGCTAGCTGTCTATTTTGGATCAGTGCACAAATTCTCTTGTCCATTGATCCGACAACATTAATATGATGCGTCATTAGCGCGATAGAGGGAACAATTTTATACTTGCTCCTACAGTAGAAAACGATGTTTGCTTTTGGAAATTAACGAGGCGAGATAAGGAAAGACAGCTATACTTTCGATCATATATATCTCATATGTGAAGAAATTAAGAAATGTAAAAAAAGTTTTCTTGGAAAAGTTGAAAAAGTAACTACATTGGATTCTTCTTTTCCTTTGGTTCTCACCTCCTCTTTATAAACACTTTGTGCTTGATGACCATGCGTGCATTTGTGAGATTTCTCCTTTAGTTCTCAAATTTGAAGCCAACGTACGTGGTATTCTCGGGATCCTATGAGCAACTTTCCTCCCAAAAGCAAGCTCATCCAAAGGTGCATTATTTGTAAATACGAACATCATAAAGTTCTTCGACTTTGAAATGCTATTAAGCTGTGTGAGAGAAATAATATTGTATTGTGAACTATTCTGTTTATTATGCTCGATGTAAGAGTATTGCTTGTAGATAAAATCTCAAACTAGTTGAGATCCATCGTTGCTTGCAGACCTTACCGTGTAATAATAAAAAATATCTGTTAATAATAAAAAATACGGTTGGAACAATTTCAAAATGCATAGCGCATGAGGGTACTTATTATTATTATTATTATTATTTATTTAATTGAGAAAGAGAGTTCATATTATGTCAGAAACCCTTTCTTATTTTTATTTTTATTTTTTTATTTTTTTGTAAAGTTGTAGTCAGTTAACCTCGGGTAACTGCAGGCAAGTCAATGTGGATGTTGGAGTCCGTCCCAGACCACGAGAGCTGTTTTGGTTGGAGTTACATGCAGAACCTAATCAATCTCCAAATCTTGCATGCATGAAATATTAAATGTTTTGCATTCCATGATTGAATATTTAAAATCTGTGGCTTATGTTTTTGGAAGCACGACAGCGTGCGTAGATTGTAACCACGCTTATAAATACGCAGAGAGGAAGGAGACAACGGTTCGGAGCCAACAGCCAAAAGAAATTCAGGACCATCGATCCAATTGCTTTAAACGGCATTTTGGATGCAACCGTTTGTTCACTGTTTCACATACTCGTGAGCCTTCAGCGTATGTATGTATAGTCCTTTTCATGGGCTCTACCTTCCTTCCCTCACCAACCAACACAACTAATCGGTATTAATTGCTTTGAATAAAACTAATGTAAAAGAGTAATTAAGTAGTTCTGATCATCTATTGTATTAATAACATATCGAAAGTATATATGTTTATATTTTGATCACTGGACATGGGTTTATGTGTGGTGATCTAATTTACTAATTGATACGCTATATATTAGGGGCTGTTTCGTAAAAAAAAGCCCCGAAACCCATTTCCCTCCCCTGACACCGCGTCCATCTCGGACATTTCATTTTTCTTGGTTTCATTGGGCGGCTTTGGTTCGCAGTGGCTTCTAGGGTTTCCAGCGACGGAAAACTCCTCCACCTCAATCAAATCGCTCGTCACGATTTCCTCCCAAAATGAGCGGAAAACCTCAGAAAACCCTCATGTGGCGTCCTTTTGTCAGATCTGCAATATTTTCGAGAAATTTACTCTTTGGCTAGGGTTACCACCAAGTCCGCCAGTTCTTCCCTGTTCACACGTCGGATCTACGAAAGCTGGGGCTCGTCGTCGGATTTCTTTAGTTTTTTGTCGGATTTAGTCGGATTTTCGTCGGATTTTTTGTCGGATTTGTGGAAATCACTGCATACAGCCACGGTCCCTTTTCTCTTCAACTATGAGTCTAAATCTCTCCACTTCTTAGTTATTCCTATGTTTTATTGAGAATTATTGATAGTATTTCATTTTATTTTGACGTGTTCGTGTTAGATCCTGAGTACTTTAATTTTCCTAGGTTTAACTTTTTTAGGATCTTGTGTGATGGATCTAGAATTTTGATAGCCATATTAGTGATTTTTTTATTTTTCAGTTTTGTGTTTGTGCTGGCTTTGTGGCTATTTGTGATGGCGATGAGCACACATTGTCCGGCTATTCAGTTTGTGCTCGCTTTGTGGCTGTTTGTGCTGGGTTTGTGGCTGGTTTTCAGTTTGAGTTCATGTCCATAAATCTTGTGTGCACACATTGTTCAGGTGCTGCTTGAGTTCATGGCCAAGTTTTGTGTACACATATTGTTCGTGTGCTGATGTTATTTTTGTGCACTGTTTGTGCTACGTTTTTGTGTACAT